CCTTCTTGTATGTATACATGTTGCCGAAACAACTTCATCATCCTATTCGTCCTCATATGTTTCCTCCTCCTCCTCCTCCTCCTCCTCGGTCCGTCTTCTTGCGGCTGATGAGATCGCCCGCGATGAGCGTCTTGCCATAGTAGTGTTTCATCAGGTCGTCTCTCGTGAACCAGGCCCACACGGTGTCCTCGGCGTCGGCATTGGTGAGGGTGATCTCTTCCACTGCGGTCATCTTGCCAACGTCGCCCCCGCAGGCGAGAAAGAGCTCGAAGATGGGGGTCTTGGCGCTGCGCCCCTCAGGGGCACAACCAAGACAGGGTGAAGGGCATGACCTTTCGACGGTCGTAGAAATATGCTTGCATATGGTTTGTTATGGTTTTTTTAAGGTTTGTTATGGTTTGTTATGGTTTGTTATGGTTCGATATGGTTCCGTCTAGTTTGACTCGCAGCCCTGGAATGAGTAAAACAACGGTGCCACAATAACTTATGACGTGATGTGACCTGTTAACCTGGATCCAGAGGGCAAGCAGGTGTTGGAAACAAATCAGCACATATCCCCCTGCTCCCAAGTTTGCCCTGTCGGTCCATCTTGCAGGCAGCGTCCCACTTCTCCTTGAGGAGCGGGGGGCACTCGCGACTGGTCGTCTTCCTGGTCATTCTGTTCCAGAGCGCCATGTGCTCCTGGTCGGTGAGGCTCTTCACGGCCGACTTGACAGCGAGCTCCAAGTCACGAGGGTCAATCGATCCATCAGCTTGCCGCGGGACCTGGAAGGGCTGCGCCGCCTGCGTCGCTGCCTGCTGCACTGGTGGAGCTGCTGGAGCGGCCACCACCATCTGCGTCGCTGCCTGCTGCACTGGTGGAGTTGCTGGAGCGGCCGCCGCCATCTGCGTCGCTGCCTGCTGCGCTGGTGGAGCTGCTGGAGCGACTGTCGCCATCTGCATCTGCGTCGCTGCCTGCGTTGGTGGAGCTGCTGGAGCGGCCGTCGCCATCTGCATCTGCGTCGCTGCCTGCTGCGCTGGTGGAGCTGCGGCAGCGGCCGCCACCGCCTGCGTCGGCGCTGGGGGAGCGGCCGCCGCGACCAGTGCGTTCCCAGCGCACGCCATGACTTTCTCGATGCCCTTGCCGAGCTGGGTCGACGAAGGCCGAGGGCGGGGAACGAGCTTCTCCGGAGTCGAGGTCGGCGAGGGGCGCGCTGGGCTTGGCGTCGAAACTGCGACGTCACAGTAGGCGCCATGCTGGTCGTGCGTCTTGCCAGCAATCCTCCTCCGCTTCGCGCCAGCCGGATGCTCATCGGGCGCGTCGCCGTGCCGAGCCTTGGGCATGAGCTCCTCCTTTGGTTTCAGCAGGGCCTGGCTAGCATCCATGGGGCCACGCCGCTGCGGCTGGACGTTGGCGCCAGCGCTGCTGCTTGCTCCGCTGCCATCGCCCTTGCCGTTGGCCTCGCTCTTGACCTCGCTCTTGACCCCGGGCTTGCGGACTAGGATGATCTTGCCGTTGTAGTCTGTCATGCACCGCCCGTTGCGATCTCGGAGGAAGTGAACCTGGCCACTGTTGACAACACCCCTGCCGTCCATCACTGCGGCGAAACGCGGCGCCAAGACTAAACTTCAAAGACTGGGCCGATACGCAGTGTTGCCAGTTGGACTGCTCCTCAAATGCCAGGGCCTGAACGGCTGCGAGTGACGCAGCTTGTTCATCATGACCGCAACCACTCAGAGTGCGCGGGCCCTTACGGGCCATTGCGACCCTTTATGGGCACTTGCGACCCTTTATGGGCCCTTGCGACCCTGTATGGGCCCTTGCGACCCTTTATGGGCCTCTGCGACCCTTTTATGGGTATTTGCGACCCTTTACGGGCCCCTACGGCACTTTTGCGGGCCCCTGCGGCCTTGCAGTCCTTTACGGAACCTTGCGGTCCCTTACGGAACCTTACGGTCCCGTACGGAACCTTACGGTCCCTTACGGAACCTTACGGTCCCTCACGGTCCCTTACGGAACAGTAGGGCTCTTTTACGGAACCTTACGGTCTTCTACGGTTCTTTATGGTTCTTTATGGTCCTTTACGGTTCTTTATGGTCCTTTACGGTTCTTTATGGTCCCTTACGGTTCTTTATGGTCTGACGTGAATCATTTTTATGGTTCTTTACGGTTGCTTACGGATTCATATGGTTTCATATGCTCGTTATGGCATTTATGCTCGTATTTATGTTTTTTTTATGGTGTTCTTTATGCTATTTACGGTGCTGTTCATGCTGCCTTTATGCTGGATTTGACACCAGGGCAGTGCATGGATAGATGGATGAGGATGCAAATATGGATTCGCTCCCGCCTCGGCACTCCAGACGAATGCACATATGCGAAAGTGAGCAGCTGGCTGCAGCGCACAGATGCAAAACAAGCACGGCTGAAACGCGCACTTGCGACAAGGTCAAAACGCTTGATCTCCAGAGTGGCATGCACCCTTTTCCTCAGTATATATCGCTCCCTCTCTCTCCCTCTCTCTATGTCTATCATTATCCATCTCCCTCTCCCTCCTCATCCCCCGCTCCCCCTTCATCTTTATTTGTGTATGGTGCTTGCAGTCCACGCACTTAACTACCCTGCGAGCTCGAGCTCACAGTTGCGCGGAGCGACTGCAACACTTCGTCTAGATTAGCATCGTCCCACGGGTCGTCGCTGGCGTCGGCCAGCAAATCAAAAGGGGATGCACACGCAGGCGTAGGATTCTGCGCGCACTCGTTCAGGTACACATTGGCAACCGCAGCTCCGAAACCTTCTGGGTATGCTTGGGTGCCTTTTAAAGAGCCAGTGCCGTGAACACATCTCTTCCCGTTGACGACTTCACTCGTAAACGTTCGAACTTCAGATGGCTTGCTCGCGTCAAGAGGTTGCCACGACAGCTGCAGCGCTGATGAATTAGAGCATAGTACGGTGGGCTTTCGGGAGCTGCCCCCGTAAGGTTGCATCCACATTGAGATCTTGCGCATGTTATCGCCCAAAGCGGCGACAAGCTGCTGCCACCGAGGATGGAGTTCAAAAATCGAGCTGGCAGGCTGCTCGGCCATAAAAATACAGCCTCGCATCGCAATGCCCAGGGCGATCAGCAAACAAATTCTGCTAGTTGAGACGTTCGCTTTTTTGACGAAATCCACCGACTCATCCCCTAGTGGCCTAGATTGACTTCTGCCTGTCTGATAGCGACCGATCCACACCCGCGAGCTGCAGGGCGGCGCCGCCCATATCAGGCCTTGAGGCCTCAACCCAAGCACGTATGTCAACGCCCTGCAAAAACCGTCAGTGTTGCACATGTCTCCCATGTTGCTTCGGAGCATGTTCTATAAAGATACAGAGGCGCATTGTGTCGTTAATATAACAGGATATGGTCCATTATGGTTTCTTATGGTTTCTTATGGTTTGTTATGGTTTCTGCTGGTTCGCTCCGGCACGTTACTCGGCAGACTTCCCACCCTTGCGAACAAAAAAAAAGCAAGAAGCGTCCTGACTGTGGCGAAATCCAGCGACACGGCTGGCAGGTCGTGGCTCTTGATGGCGTTTGAGACAGAGTGGCAGCCCGCGAACAACTCAACCGATTGCACTGAGTACCCGGGCAACGGGCCAGCCATCCGCACAAGGGTAGAGATCACGTTAAGCAATTTCATGGGGATCATGCGTCTGACGGGTCCTAGGGCGGTGGGTGGCATTCACCGCCGATTGAAAACATAAATTGCCACCTCCTCCTCTCATCCTTCTTTGCGGTCATTCCTCTCTCGTTTTCCTTCTCTTTTTTTTTTTTTGTTTCTCTCTCTCTCTCTCTCTCTCTCTCTCTCTCTCTCTCTCTCTCTCTCTCTCTCTCTTTCTCTATATATATGTGTATCCTGGGCCCACTTCCCATTTGCCCGTGCTACCAGCCTCCCCGCATACAGCGTTGCCTCCCCTCCTCCTCCTCCTCCTCCTCCTCCTCCTCCTCCTCCTCCGACTCCTCATCCTCCGACTCCTCCTCCTTCTCCGGCTCTTCCTCTTCCTCTCGTGCTCCTCCACCTCCTCATGCTGCTCATCATTCTCCTCGTTCTCCGCAATTTAACTCCTGCGTGCTCTGGCTGCTGGTCTGGCTTGCGCCTGGGACTCCGGCTCCGACTCCGGCTGGGACTAGAGTCGACGAGCATGGGGCCAGCGGAGCAGCTCAAGGCATCATCGCTGGCCGCGTCTGAATCAGAAGACATGGATCGATGTAATTGGGATGGGGTTCACTCGGGCTTGGCTTGCGCACGAATGGGCTCAGGATAGCGAATGCAGCCGCTCTTGGGCCCCTAGGTCACCAAGCTTCGCGGTTCGCGCTCCTCGATGTGCGACGTTATCTTCGCGCCTTTGCGTTTTCGCGCTCTCCCCCTCTGGAAACGACACTTGTTCTTGGCCCGCGCCGCGACGTGCGAAGCGCGATTGATTGTCGCCGCGCCCATACAGACGGCTTAGGACCCCTGCACGTGCACTGAAGACCTAACTGGTGATGTTAATGTCATGTCATGAGATGCGCTACCCGTTGCGATGGTGCTGTCTATGTGGCATGTTGAGCACGATTTCTACGATATGGTTTAATATGGTCCTTTATGGTTTGATATGCTTTGTTATGCTTTGTTATGCTTTGTTATGCTGTACTGTGATTTGCTATGCGTTGCTATGCATGGCCATGCACTGCTATGCCATGTCCATCGCCCGTCAAATTGCGAAAACAGACTATATATACACATGCTTTCTCAAACGTTATAGTTGTCCATTGTGTCCAACCAAGACGCATGAATACTCCTAGTGAGAGGCGCTAAGAAGTAAGGGCAGATGTCGATTCAGCACTCGTGCGCCCGCCAAATCTGCGAACTTGGCCACCCAGCAAGACGATGTCACATCAAACGGTACACCACAGAGATTAAACTGTGCCCTCGACCAGTGAATGACATTGGCAGGCGCTCTTCCCATAGGAGTGGGCTGACATCTAGCTAAAGAAATCTCATTCGTCGGACGCGGCTTTCAAAATGGCAGCCTTGACAGCAGCCTCCCAGGCTTTGCCAGCGCCCTCGTACGCAGAAAAACCGAACTGTGCAAAGCCTGTGCCCATGACGGGCTTGACAACACGCACGAAGCCTTTCACCATGTGGACCTCCAAAGTGAGCGGGGTCTTGTCGGGGGCGTAGTTCCACTTGCAGGTGGAGGAGAGTTCCCCGTGAGGGGTGTCAGGAGGCTGCGCCGCCTCCGGGAGGATGGCCAAGACATCCTTGTGCCTCTCGTTGAACACCTTCGGATCGATGAGGGGCCTCTTGGCGGGCTTCGGCCTCGGGCGAATAAAACGCAGAGTGGGTTAGCCGAGCGGTCCCGCGCCGAGTGCGCGGCTGAAGTGGGCCCCCTCGTGACCCGCCTCGCGACCTACGACCCATTCGACCCGCCCGCGCGCGCCCGGGCGCCCCCTCACTCATATCCGCAATTGACGGGGACTAGGCAACATCAAACGCACCCTTAACAAGCCACTCCGAGCGTTGCCCCCCTGCCTGTCTGAAAGGAAATCGGCGTCGGTGCACGTTTCGATTGGGCCTTCGACGCAATGGCCCTCCCCTGGGCCAGGGCGCATCCTCTCCAGTTGCGGCCTCGCTGCAGGTCGAGGGCGCGGGGGTGGGGGTGGTCGGGCGAGGCGGGGGAGAAGCGGGGAAGGGTGGTTGTCCCAAGAGGAGCAGGTGGAAGGCGACGAGCAGAAGGTTGTCGTTGCTGCTGCGGAGGAGGAGGGCGACGAGAGTGAGGGCGAGGGCAAGCATTCAACTGGTTTCGGGATCAGTGCCCGCTGCGGCCAGAAGCGCGCGAAGGGGGATGACGCACGGGGGGCGCATCAGACAGCGCGGTTGGAAGCAGATTTGTTTTTGAGACGTGTTGGTTTTGATGCGCCCCCCTCGCGCCACCCCATTCGCGCGCCGCCGACGCATGGTGCCCATTCCAACCTTTTACGCCCACACCACCTCGCGGGCGCGGCCTCAGCGCCAGCCGTGTCGCCCTCGGCGTCGGCCTCGGCCGCGCGCTTCTTGCTGGCCACGTCGCCTCCGGGGACGCCAAACGCGGCGCTGCGCCGATATTGGCCAGGCCACGCCAAGGTCCAGGATTTGTGAATTCAACCTTTGTCAAGCCAGGGGATGCATACACCAATCCTGGGCCATGGACTGGCTCAGCCAGGGTCGTAGCTGGTCGATGCTTGGCGCTCCCGAGTTGCCGCTGCCGTCAGCCGCCGACTGCGCGTCGCCTTCAGGGGCTCCAGGTGCCCACCGACGCCGATTGTGGCTAGGCCAATCCTGCACCCAAGATCGATGGACGCGATCTGGCTCTGCCAAGAAGGCGGCGCATCCACCAATCCTGGGCTCAGAGTTGGCCCAGTCAGGAGCGGCGCTGGTGGATGCTTGGATCCCCCGAGGTGCCGTCGGCGCTTCTCATCGCACATTTGGCCTTGGCCTTGCCCTTCGGCTTGGCCTTGGCCTTGCCCTTGGCCTTGCCCTTGGGCGTGGCCTTGGGCTTGGCCCCCAGGCGGGCGCTGGCCTCGGCCGCGGCCTCGGGGGCGCCTCCATCGGCGGTGATATCTCCTGTCGTGTCGCCGCCCCCTGCCACATCGTCAGCAGTACCGCGGGCCTCTGCTGGCGCGAGGGCGGGCATCGTCTCCAGCTTCTTGACCAGCTCATCTGGGCGACGGGAGCGAGAGAACGAACAGGGAAGCAGACGTTCGTGGAAACATTGCGTGCAAAGGCAATGCAAGTAGAGTTGGCTTCCACTTGGTAGTACAATGCAATGCAAAACAATGCACAACGTATCAAGAGCATGCAATGCACTGTAACACCACGCTCGAAGTTGTACATACCCGCCGAGACATGCAGGCTAGCAACTGATTTGTACATGCGTTGGCTTACACATGTGGTGTGCTAAACTGTGAACTGTACTAGCAGGTATGCCAACATCGTATCATTATGGTTGCTTATGGTTTTTTTTATGGTTTCTTATGGCTTCTTATGGTCTCTTATGGTCTCTTCTGGTGTGCTGCTACCTGCACGTTCATGCTGCATATGTTTGTTGGTGCTTGTTTAAACAACATGACAGTTGGATCGAGGGCCTATCGAATCATACCTGGAACATCCCCATGGTTCTGTCATGCCAATGACCGACGTTGGGCGGCTTCTTGGGCGGCGGCGGGGCCCGGGCGCACGAGGAAGCATGCGCGGCTGGATGAGCGAAGTGCTCCTTCTCCTCCGTCTCGGGCGCGGCAGGCGATGAGTGGCACAGCGCCGTGGCGATGCGATCGAAGGGCGCGCGGGGGGCGGCGTCCTCGCCCTCCTCGTCGCTCGAGCTGATTGTCTGGATCGCCTGCAACTCCCTGTTCACAACAGAGTCGTCGCCTGGCTCGGGCATCATCGCTCCGAGAAGAAGTCCACGAGCAATGCATTCAGCTCTCGCCTGGGCGCGGGGGGGATCACGGGGCGCGCGCGCGGCGCCCCCCGAAAACGGTTGGGGCTTCTGGGATGATCCAAGACAGTTCGAAGGTGGCCCAAGATGGCCCCGACATTTACAGCTTCAAAGCTCACCAATGGCCCAAGATGGCACCGATATTTCCCAAATTCGAAGGCGGCCCCAGACGGCCCCAAGATGGCGCCACAGAAACCAGTTTCAAGTGCACGGCCTGTGACATCCCGGGGCCCTTCATCTTCAGCGCGATAGTGACAGCTGAAATGTCATCGGCCTTGGGAACCACCTCCACAGCAGAGCGGGGCGTCTCTGGCGACCGGGGGGGCTGGGAAGGCGCGTCGGAAGCAGTGGCGGTGTCGGGCTGGCTCTCGGGGATCTTGTCGTCGCAAGCCATTGCGGTGCTGGGCTGGGCCGCGGGGATCTTGTCGTCGCAAGCTGGTGCGGTGTCCGGCTGGGCCGCGGGGATCTTGTCGTCGCAAGCCGGTGCGGTGTTGGGCTGGGCCGCGGGGATCTTGTCGTCGCAAGCTGGTGTGGTGTCAGGCTGGGCCGCGGGGATCTTGTCGCAAGCCGGTGCGGTGCTGGGTTGGGCCACGGGGATCTTGTCGTCGTGGGGGTGCGATTCGGAGGGCTCTGGCGTGTCTGGTCCATCTTCATCAATCATGATAACTTCCACTGCGAACTCGGCGAATTCATTCTCCTCATCGTCTGCGCCCGAGCCCCCCTGATTCTTGGAACGGGTTCTGGGAGGCTTGCATGCGTTCTTGAGGATGGCAATGTCAGGATCCCTGGATATTGGGTGCGCACCCTTGAGTTTGTACACGTAGAAAATCATTGCATGCAGGCAGGCCCCCTCGAGCAAACTCCACGAGCTGTAGGGCTCGCCGTCAGCGTAGAAAGGCAGGTTCCCCCCATCCTTGCTGTAGTTGGCGCCGCCGAGCTTCCAGCCCGACGCCTTTCGAACTTCGGGGGGGGGGGGGGGCAGTGCAGGTCAAATCTATTGGCACCCATCCACCCTTTCTTCCTCGAGGGAAGCAGGGATGGATAAGGGGAAGAGGGTCTAGACAGCTTACCTGTATTGTTTCCTCCCTCGACAGCTGCTCAAATATCACGCAATAACAGGACTGTTTAACTCATGTGTTGCCTTGTGGTGTCTTATGGTTTATTATGGTTTCTTATGGTTTCTTATGGTTTCTTATGGTTTGTTATGGTTTGTTATGGTTTGTTATGGTTTGTTATGCTCTGTGCTGCTGTGCTGTGATGTGCGATGTTGCGATCGTGATTCACTGTGCATGCTTATCATGGTGCTGGGCTCGTGTGAGTGTGATGCGATATTGCTTGATCCTACTTTCCCACGGGCGATATGATGTTTGTCTGTACTGTGGCGTTGCTCATATGTCGTGTTGATGGCGTGCTATGGCATGCTATGCAGTCGATCGGGCTTCCGCCCATGGCTCGCAGAGCGGCATCAGGAAGAGAGGGGGAGGAGGAGGAACATGAAGAGAAGGAGGTAAAGGAAGAGGAGGAGGAGGAGGAGGAGGAGGAGGAGGAGGAGGAGAAGGAAAGAGTGAGAGGGAGGGGGCCGCTCCACATGCGCATTATCCCTTGTCTCAGCCAGCCTGAGCCAATTCCAAATTGGCTCAGGCTGGCTGAGACCGAGGATGACCCCTAATTATTAGGGGTCATCCTCGGTCTCCTCTACCCCCCTCCTTCCCTGACCTTCCAGAGTGCTAAACCATAGCCCCCCAGACTTATAAACCTATCTGGACTGCTCAAAACCTCGACAGGAATTGAGACGCCAAGATCCTGGTGCTACCTTTTAGCCCTCGTGGAAGGTCAGGGTTGCTCTCCCCCGCTCTAGAACCCCCAATTCCATTCACCCCGAAATCGTCCCCCACCCTGGCCGAACCCCCTATCTCTCGCCTGGCCTCGTCAAGCTTGAAGACAGCTCTCGCGTACGCTGATGTCGGGGGCCTGCTGTCGAGTGAGGTCAGGACAGACAGCAGCACGTCCCGGTGGTATTTGAGGTCATCCTTGCAGACCTCGGGAGATGTGCCGCCCTCGGCGGCGCGCCAAGGAGGGGTTGGGGGCGGGGGGGGGCTTCTTGAAAAGAGGGGCCACTCCTTCTAAGAAGCCCCACCTCGTAAGAAGCTCTCCCTGCCCCCCGCCACTCCTCGGCGCGCTGCCGACGCCGATAGCCCCCGCCCGATTCGTCCCTGGGATCCGTCCCTGATGAAAGGGTGAGGCTCCCTTGGGGCCCCATCGGGGCCACCCCAAACCGTGCAAAGGCCCCTGGGTCCGAGATTCCCCGAGACCCCTTCAAGGTACCCTTGATGGGGGCTGCTTACAGTCAACCCGTAGAGTAAGGATGCGCGAGGATACAATGGCCTTGGACGCCCAATTCGAAGCCTTTCGAGCGGGCTGCGGCCAACGAAAGCGGCCAAGGATGGGCCGAGGAGGCAAGGATGCAAGGGTACCCTTGGGAGGGTTGCCCATCCGTACTACGCGGGTTGACTGTAATGGGTCCCCCAGGGCTCTCGAAAATATTCTTTCTCGCAACCAGGCGCCTTGATTCTACCGTGGCTCACGTCGGCCACCAGTGGGTGCAGGTTGTCGGTCCTCAGGGGCAGGGCTATAGTGCCCAGACCTTCCAGGAGGGCTTAAAAATAACACCAGGACCTCGACACCGAAATTCCTGTCGGGATTTTAGGCAGCCCAAAAAGGGCTACAGGTCTGGAGGGTTATCTATTGGCACTCTGGAAGGTCAGGGTGGTTCCCGGGCCCTTTCAACTTGATCGACCAGCTCGGCCGTCAGTACGGCCGCCAACGCGTTGAATATCTGATCAGTGGGCGTCGCCATCGCGGCGACGGCGCGACAGGTGCGAACAGAATGGAGGTGTGCGTCGAGGGGGCCGAAGAGGGGGCCGAAGAGGCAATGGGTGAGGGATCGGGAGAGGAACTGGAGGCGAGGAGGAGAGAGGTACAGAGGGCGGGGGCTCCGTTGGCACCCGTCGATGGCCCCTCTGGCCCCTCTGGGGACCTGCCCTCCTGCAGGCCGAGCAAAATGCTCGAGCCTGGCGCCGTCGGATCGGGTCGCATCGGGCGGTCGGTGGGGCGGGCGTTCGGTTGATCGGGCGAGCGGTCCTCCTCCTCCTCCTCCTCCTCCTCCTCCTCCTCCCGCCTCCACATCCACCTCCGCCTCCTCCTCCCGCCTCCGCCGCCTCCTCCTCCTCCTCCTCCTCCGCCCCCCCTCCTGCTCCTATACCGCGCCCACGGCGAAGACGCGATGACGGCATGACGACGATGCGATGCCAAGACGGCGCGACAATGTTGCAACGACTAGTAGGAGGAAGAGGAGGAGGACGAGGAGGAGGAGGCGGAGGAAGAGGAAAAAGAGGAGGGAGGAGGAGGAGGAGGAGGAGGAGGAGGAAGAGGAGGAGGAGGAGGACGGAGGAGGAGGAGGAGGAGGAAGAGGAGGAGGTAGAGGAGGAGGAAGAGGACGAAAAGGCTACAAACACGAATACTATTAATAATAACGGATAATAGCAATGCTAGTAATGTGTTGCGTTGTGTTGTGTGTTGTGTTGTGTTGTGTTGTGCTGTGCTGTGCTGTGCTGTGTTGCGTTGTGTGTGTGTGTGTGTGTGTGCGTGTCTGTGCGTGCGTTTGTGTGCGTGCGCGCGCCGTCGGTGCGTATGTTTGTGTGTGTGCGTTTGTGTGTATCTGTGCGTGCGTGTGTGTATGTGTGTGTGCGTGTTTGTTACGTTCTCTTGTTCCCCGCCCATGCTGCGCCGCTATCCGGTTTTGGACTACACAAGCGACAGAAGTCGTCAACGCTCAGCACATGGCTAAAACAAAATCACCGTGGCAACAAAAAAACGCACCGCAGCCAGGCGCGTTGGAACGCCAGCGAAGGAATGACAAAACATGAGCGCGCGCGATACGGCCATCACGCAAGGCCAGCAGGAAGCTTGAAAATCAGGCGGCGACAAAACATATGAAGCTAAAAAGGCATTCGACTATCTGTTTGCTTGCCGACGTCATGCATATTTGCATGAAATCAACGCGTGAACGTGGTGTCGCTGCTGACGAACTTAAGTTTTTTATGGTGTTTTGTGGCTTTCGTTCGCACGCTCGAAATCAGCATCGCTGAAAGCATAAATTTATAAACCCTTAGACTTCCGTCCTCGGGAAGTCTATAAAAATAGACTTCTGGAGGCTCTGGGAATGACCCAACTCAAGAAACTAGCGGCACAGGGGAACTCTGCGCAGGGCCGGGGGCAGCTGACCGCCAAGCACGAGGTCACCTGGGACCCAGACAATGCTTCGCAAGTTCCCACCGGAGAGGCGCCCCTGTCCTGCTGCGCCATTCTCGCGATGGCGCCCGAAGACCCGGGCGCGACGTTGCCGCATTTGCTACGGGTGAATGGGGCGAGGCCGGAGGGGCCAGAGTCCGGCGAGTCTGTGGAGGGGAGCAAAGGCCAACGCATATTCTTTAGCATTTCTGCTCGCGATCTCAATGGTTCGTGCGAAGTTGGCGTCTCCCAAGAGGCTGCCTTGGCTCTGAACGGTTTAGATACCATGTCGGAGTTCCAGCGCGCCCACGAAACTCGGGCTATCTCCCCCCCTCCTTTTGGCAGTTGTCGCACAGTGCGCCGCGTGCGCCGCGCGCCTGCGGAGGAGGGGGGCGGCGCGCCTGAGCGGGTTTTTGTCGGCGCGACTGTGGTTGCAGCGTCTCCGCTCCAGACATTGCACGCCCCGAATACTCATTACCATATTGTTTTGGAGATCCTGAAGCAATGCCGCGAGAGCCAGGATGCCATGCTCGCGGCACGCCTCTCTGAGATACATGCTCGCTTGCCCATTTTACGGCGCGCGCGTGGATTGTGCTCCGGCAGTGCCACTTGGCAGCGGTGGCGCTTCTCAGCTTGCCCGGAACTGCCATTTGGCAGTCGCTCTTGTTCGCGCCGCACAGAAGTCGCGGCGCGTGTCCGCAGCGAGCGGCTTCCCCGTGTCTACAACAGGTGTGAAGGACGCTTTTGCCGATGAGAAGTCTGTCGCGATGATGGTTCACGGCTATTGCTCCGTAGAAAACGCGCACTCGTTCAAAATGGATCCGCCCAGCAAAGCGAAGCACAGCGTCTGCCTGTTGCTCATTTAAGCCTGTTCAAATGAGGCGATCACAGTGCAGAGCGTAACCCATATCGACGAGGACGCAGTGACACAGGCAGAGTACTTCTTCATGAAAATGAAGAAACTTGGCACGCGCGCAGAGCTCCGGCAATCTGGTGAGCACAAGCGAATGAATGAGTAGACCAAGACACCGGGCTCAGCCAAGAAGTGCAGAATCCTCGAAGGTCATCCGTAAGGAGAAAGCTTAAAATTAAGAACTGCAGCCTTGATGTCCATTGAGCGATGCTTCCCAGCTTCCAACCGCATCGCGTCCTGCCAGCGATGCTTCTCAGCTTGTCCTGCCAACGATGCTTCTCATCTTCCTGTCAGCGATGCTTTTTCAGTTTGTCCTTCTGTGCTGGTGTCCTGCCATCGACGCGTCTCAGCTTCCTGCACATCGCGTCCCTCAACCTTTTCAGCTGCTTGGTCGGCGGATTACATAGGATTCGCCTCGCGGACTGCCAATGATATTTGCCTCAAGTATCTCGTCTCTCAACCCCAGCTGACTCGCATTCGCCTGCGGTGCTTCTCAGCCCTCAGCTGCTGTTGTGTATGCTTCTGGAAGATTACTCGCTTCCGTCTGCAGTGCTTCTCGACTTGCTATTGCTCTGTTGCCTACTTGGAAATGGTTTGTGCGTTGAGCGGCTGCGGATGCTTGTTCGCACGAAAAAAAACACAAGTCGGCAACATGATGCTGTCATTGCCAATGCGACTGCGATTGCAAAAGCGGCGGTAACTGCCATTGCCATGGTGACTCCGACTGCGATTGCAGCTAGTCCTACGATCACTACTACTGCTAGTACTTCTGCGACTACTACTGCTACCACGGAGTTGCGCTCATTCATGGAGATGCCCCGTTTGTGCTAGCACTCCTCGTAATACTTCTACTGCTACTACAACTGTTAGCATAACTATTAATTGACACAACTATTCCTAAAACTACTCCCACCATTACCAGTACTATTACTACGCTGACCATTACCATTATTATTACAACAACAACAACAACAACAACAACAACAACAATTACTAGCAAGTGGGGACACTCCGTTCTCACCAGTGCCAGGGTTTTCATAGGAGGCGGGCAATGCCCCCACTTTGTGGGGGGGCCGGTTCAAGCTCTACCAAATTTCCAAACGACTCTTCGCCACCACCCACACCCAGCTTCCCGCCCTATGACGTTCGGACACTTCACTTCGTGGCATGCGGACGACCGTGGCTACTATTCAGGGCCCCGCGGCCGACGACGACGGCGTGCGCGCGCGAAGAAAAAACGAATGTGTCCCGCATGGTATTATTTGACAGGGATGATGGCCCTGGCAGGTGCGCAACCGTTGTCGCAGAAGTTCGAAAAAGTTGCTCGCAAAAGCCCGTTTGACAGAAATGTTTAAAAAGTGTTGGGTTTCCTACGAATCCGCAAGAGCGCGCGGGATGAGATTTTGACATTTTTTTGTTGAAAAACCATTGGTTTTTTGATGTTTTTATGTTAAAATCGCTCCGAACACTAAGCTTTTGGAAGGATTTCGTCTTGCGCGCGCGAATGTCCACTTTACCTTATTTTTTGCAAGGGATTCTTGAAATTTGATTATATTAGAACAAGAAATGTCATTTTATAGTGTTTTTTGCAAGGGAAAACGGATTACAACAAAACAACCGGATCTGGATCACATCGTTTTACCTGAGGCTTCCTCACGAAAATGATGAAAATGTAGCTGCGGCCTAGGCGGCGCAGGGGGGGCGCGCACCAGGGGGCCCAACAATAATTATTCTTTAGAATAAATAATGTTCAACAACAACAACAACAGCAACAACAACAACAACAACAACAACAACAACTACTACTACTACTACTACTACTACTACTACTACTACTACTACTACTACTACTACTACTACTACTACTACTACTACGACTGGCGCCACCACGATCAGAAATTCTAGTACTATTACTATTACTGTTTATGCTGCTGCTGCTGTTGTTGCTTCTGTTGCTGTTGCTACTGCCAATGTAGCTACAATTACTGACAGTATTGTCATTGCCACTGTGACTGCGGCTGCGTCTGCCGCCCATTGCGATTGGCAGTATGAATGCGGTTGCCACAGCATGAACCGGAACTCTACACATGGATTTTCATATGAATCTTAAGGGGATGCCCCCAGATATGCTCATACACGTCGCTGTTAGGTTGCTTTGCCGGGGTAGTAACGGTTGGTCCATCAAACAAGCAGTTGTTATGGGAATCGTTCCATTTTCTATGTATGGCGGAATGGCACGGATGAGGCACCTTTATAGCGATGCAAACCCGGCGCGGCTGCAACCTGCGAGTGGAAGCGGAAGCAACCCCATAATCGCAAGCACGGGCGGGGTGAGGAACGCAGGCAGCAGGGCGCTAGACAGGCAAACCGTCGTTCGAGCAGGAGGAGGAAAAGGAAGGAGGTGGGCGACGACGACGCGGAAGGAGGAGGACGAAGAAGACGAGGAGGAGGAAGACGAAGGAGGAGGAGAACCAGTTCAGGCCCAAGAACCATCAACGAAGTCGAAATGGCCCAACCCTCAAAGCACTTTTTTTACCGGCCCCCACAACTGCTCACGTCCACTGATTGAACTGCCTCGTGGGGGGATGACAGTTTGATGGCCCTGAAATCTGCCGGAACATTGTTCACGGGGTTCCAGCGCCGTGGATCAGCCTGACGGTTGCGTCTCGACGATCCTGAATCGTGCCAGACCGCCATTCCTGGGACTTCAACACCTTAAAGCAATGTAGCTGCTGAAACCTCAATCCCGAATCCGTCCGAAGCACCATCTGGTGCGCTAGTAGTGGGATTCCGCGAGACTCTTGCGGACGTTTAGAGCGAATGTGCCCAACGCTCAAGCGAGAGTTACAATGTCAGAAGGAATCGTCCGCAATCTGCGACGCTCCAGCAATTGCAAAAACAAAACAAGCGAATGCGCGCGGCGCTAGAGCGAACGCCGCATCCATTTGCGAAGCCGTTGCCAATCTTTAAAGCTTCAGGGCAATAACTGGCGAGGAAGTCTCAAGCGAAACACCCGGCCCGCTCTCGAAACTGGCCTCGGGGCGCAACGGGGAGAATTTCTTCGTCAGGGGAACAAGCGAAATATAAGGAGGTAAGACCGGACCGGGGGAGATCGCGCATTAAATTCTATAGCGGGGGCCCCGCGCGACCTCCATGGGCGCAAGCCGAATGCGGGTGCAACCCCGCGCTCGGCCCGCGCCAACCTCGACCGCAAAACCCTCGACACCGCTCTCCACCTCCACGCGGAGGCGCGGCGCAGGCTTCGCGACGAACTCGGTCGCCCGCCCCGTGCGCCGCGCGGCCCCGCATGAGCTGGACAAGGAAGATGTTCGCGACCCCCCCCTCGTCGACGCCCTGGGGCGAGCCGTCGTCGTCGCTCTCGCCGTAGACGAAGGCGGCCGCCCACGGGCCAGGGGCCCGCTCCGCCAGAGCCGGCGCCTCCGCGACCACGTCGAAGGCCTGGTCAGCAGCGCCCTCGCCGCCAGGAGGGCAGCGACCCCCGCGAGGGCCTGATGGGCAGCGCCGCTCGCGGCCCGCGGGGCGCGATCCAGGCGCGCGCGCCGCCGCGCGACCGGCTGCGCGCGGCCCGCGGCGCGCCGCCGCCCAGCAGCTGCCCCCAGCAGCTGCCCGTGGGCCATGGCCGCCCAGGCCGCGCCATCGCCCTCCGCCTCGCTCGCCGCGTCGTCGGCCCCTGGCTGCTCGGGCCCTCCTCCGAATAGGGCGGCAATGCGGCGTCTCGCCATCCATCTGCCACCCGGGCGGCTCGCTTCGGACCGGCGTGGCACGCGCCGGCAACGGGGCCCGCGCGCGGCACGCCGTGGCCGAACCCCCGACAATGCGATCCAGCGTCGCCGCCTCTTTGCGCAGCTCAGCCTCCCCCCCCTGCGCCTCGGCCCTGACCGCCGAGCGGCCCGCGTCGACGGGCCCTGGCGCCTGCCGCCAAGCAGCCGCGCGCGCCGCTAGCGAGCGCCGCGCCAAAACACTTGCGCCGGAATCGCAGCTGGGGGGCGATTCCGCCCGCGCCGCCACGGGCGGGCCCGCGCGCGCGCCAGGAACGCTGGCCTGAGGAAGAAGAGGAGGAGGAGGAGGAGGAGGAGGAGGAGGAGGAGGAGGAGGAGGAGGAGGAGGAGGAGGAGGAGGAGGAGGAGGAGGAGGGTGGAGGGGGGAGGGGCGGGCCCCGAAGAAGAGCAGGGCGAGGCGCAGGGGGGCTCGAGGCCCCGCCCGCAAGCGCGCCCCCCGCGGAGGAGGGCGAAACAATTAACGCGTGGGGGGGGCGCCCCAACGTTGCGACCTCTGCGATCCACCTGAGTTTAGGCGGCGAGCGGCGAGCGGCCATGTGGGAAGTGAAAGAGAAGGCGGATGTCCTGAAACTGCGCGCAGGCAGGCGGAGTCCTTGGATCAACTGGGATCGTAGCGCTCGTTTGCTGAGCGGCTTCTCTCGCCCGAGCGCGCGTCATCGGCGGCGGGCCGATGGGGGGGGGGGGGGGCGGGCCTTTTTCCGGGGATCGGAGTGCATCCGGCCTCCGGGGAGAAGCGGCCTGAATTCATGTTCTTCCCCGAAGGCGCGGGTCAATGCTCTGGTGCCCGGAGGGCCCCCTAAGAGCGCCGCCGAGAAGGTCTCGTCCTTTTCGCTTCCCCCCTCGCTGGCTGCCGACTCGGCGCTCGGCTCGCCAGTCGTTGCGGGCGACGCGGCAGCGGTGGCCCGAGTGCTCGGGCTCGGCCCTCTCGCGCCCCTCGACAGCCGCGCGCGGAGGGGCCGCTCCGGCGAAGGGCCGCTCGGATTGGGATCGGCGTTCATGTGCCCCCCCCCCCAGATTCATAAACTTTCCTGGCGGCAAGATCTGCGAACGGATCGGCCGCCCCGGCAGTGGGCGCCCCGACGGGCGGAGCCGCCCAGCGCGTCCGAGGGCGGCGCCGAACGGGCGGGGCCGCTCGGTGGACGCCTGGTGCCCCGCGGCCAACGCCAGGTCTCAGGGTCGGGGCGGTTCTTCGCCCGCTGGAACTGGAAGCGCCCGCTGCAACCGCATCCTGCATCCCGCAGTTTCGGGCCCCCGCTGCGTCTCGGAGTTTCGGGTTCCTTTTCCCGGGCGCCCGAGGCGCAGCGATTGCGGATGAGAATCTGGCGTCCGGGGGCTAGATACTCAGCCGCGTCTGCTGCGCCTCGGCTTCTCGGCGCCTCTCCTCAGAGAGTCCGAGGGGCAGCTGCCGCGGTTGCAGATCCTGCCCGCGGCGCGGGCATCGATCTCACCCTGCCGCCCCCCTCCCCCCCCCCCCGCCTCGGCGGCGCGCGCCGCGGGGGCGGCGCGAAGGGGGGGTGGCGGGGCGGGCGCCCTCGACGATGGCGGGGCGGCTTCCCGGAAAGGCCCGCCAGGGCGCCCGCGTCCGCGAAGGCTTCGCGGCAGCCCCCTAGCGTCCATCGAAAAAAAACGTGTTGGAATCTTCTGGGATAGTTGAAGAATCAGCCGATCTGGCGCGTGAGTTCAAGGGGTCGAAGCTGGAGCTGCGCTGAATCTCAGCTGAGGAGGGGCATGTGCGGGAAGGGGAGGGGGGGGGATTCCATGGCGCCGCGCGGGATGCGCTGCTTCTGCAAAATGGCCCCCTGTAGATGCGCTGGAAGAGCGGCGGCCTCCTGGGATGCATGATTTTTCTTTGTGTCGAGGCCATATGTAGATGGGCGAGATCATGGCCGGGGGTTGCAAATGTTATAAAAAGGGAGCTCTGTGCATGTCGGAGGGCGCGCTCCTGGGCTGCATGCGCAGCAGCTTCCTGTGCTTTGCGCAAACAGCGGCGCTTCCTACACCGCGACGCATTTTCGCGCGCATGCTTTTAAGCACGGGTGCCGTTTCTTCCGTCAAGGTGGTGTCGCGACAACCGTATGCTCACATGCGACAGGGACCTCAACTCCAGCGCGCACGAGCCCGCTCCTTCGCTGCGTCATGCGATTCTGTCACCGTTTTGTGCAACAAGCGTCCGTTTCGAAAAGCTCGAACTGCCTGGCAAGCCTAGATCAAACCGAGCCTTCGCGCCACTGTCCTTCCACGATTGAATAGATGTAGCTTCACCCGCGCCAAATGGCAACACTTTCGAATGTTTCGGCCAGATATTCCGGAACTGTTTTGCTATCTCACCAAGGCTCCCCAAACCCCTCGATACGTCCTCTGTGAAGCCTGTCCGGCAACACCCACTGTTGCTATGCATCGTCCTATGTATTCCAAGTTCGCAAGAGCACTGGCCCATTTGTTTCCAGTCTGCTTCAGGCTTCCCCTCCCCTTCGTCACACCCGCTACACTACGTAATTGTTGTGTGCCGCGACAGTGCCTTCTCAGCCTCGCTTGCCCGCTGTGCCCGCCATGTTTTGCAACGGGATGCAATGCTTCCGCATGCCTTACGAGGGAAGCACGCACATGCCCCTTCAACTCATTCATGGGCTTGGCCAGTCCAGCCTTTTCAATAACTACGCGCGGCCTCCGAATCGCAGCGGGGCCGCATTCGGTCTGTGCATCCTCTTGCGCCACAGTGCCGCTGCCAGCTGCTATGTGTTTTTTCTTGTCGCGGTCGCCTTGCCTTTCGTCACAGCCATGGGGATACGAACTTTGAATCTGAACTGTTATTGGCCTAAGGTTTTAGAGCAAGCTTGGACCCCCCCTGGTAAAGGCCCACAAAACTGAACGTGTCTCGTTCTGCGCTTCCTTGTCCTTCCCCACCAGCTCTTCCTAATCATCACCACCGTCCTCGATTTCATTATTCTCCATATCGATCGCACCACCACCATCATAATCTCCATCCCACTGGCCACCACAACCCTCCCCATCTTCACCTCCTCCTCCTCCTGATCTTCCCATCGCCATCGTCATTGCCATCACAATACGCATCATCACCATCATCATCAGCAGCAGCGGCACCAACACCAGCACCATCGCCATCATCATGATCATGAGCTGGGTCATCCTCATTTTCATCCTCTGCATCCTCCTCATCATGAGCACACTCAGCAGCATCATCACCTGCAGCATCATCATAACCAGCAACACCAGCACCATCATCATCATCATCCCCATCACCGACATCATCAGCATCCTGATCATCACAACAACCACCATCACCGTCAACACCATCATCGTCAGCAACATCAGCATCAGCAGCATCATCGTCATCGTCGGTATCAGTACCATCATAGTCAACGTCATCGCCTCTGTCGTCGTCATCATCTGCATCATCATCATCATCATCATCATCATCATCATCATCATCATCATCAGCATCAGCATCATCATCATCATCATCATCATCATCATCATCATCATCATCATCGTCATCATCATCATCATCATCATCATCATCATCGTCGTCGTCATCATCATCATCATCAGTATCATCATCAGCAGCAGCAGCAGCAACACCATCATCACCACCATCATCACCAACATCCTCATCACCATACAGCCGCATCGTCATTCTCTTGGACTGAGCAGCTGCCACCGAACAAACAACTCGACTTGCGAGGTCGCGAGACTTGCAGCAGACAGCTGGATATCTTGTGGGTCGTAAAAGGCATCACGGGGGTGGTAAGGGAGAGGGGTGGGGAGCGGGGAAAGGGGAAACCGTAGGAAGGGCGGAGGGTGGTGGGCAGGGAAGGCGGGGGAAGAAGGGAGGGGGCGCAGGGTGGGAGGGGTGAGGGGGGGGGGGTGAAGGATATGAGGAGGGAAAAGGGGGAGGGAGGGAGGGAAGAAGGGACGTGAGGAGCAAGGGAGGGCAGGAGGGAGGGAGGGAGGAAGTGAGGGATAGAATGGAGGAGAGTCGAACCACAACACTCGGAGCGCGGGCCAGAGGCCATCACAATCGAGCGCAGGAGGCGTAGGGGGAAACATCGAACGTAAAAGGCTTCCTGGAAGACTCCGTGGAGGCGTCTGGGGGGGAACATCGACCCCGCATCGGCGGGCGATCGGCCCCTGGTAGCAGAAGCGCACGCTCTTTGGGCGGGTTGGCGCACCCGGGCCCCCATTGGCGATGAGTGGGCGATGGGGTGTCGGCGCGCTCCCCCCGTGAGCCCCCCTTCCTGCTGCCTCCGGAGAGCAGGAGGCACGAGCGAACAAAGTACCTGGGACACTTTCCCTTCGCGCAGCGCTCCCCGCGATTACATTCGCGCAGTCATCCCCCGCTGCCCTGGCCCAGGCCGCGACGCGCGAGGCGCAGCAATCTTTGAGCCCCCCGCGGGTGACCTAAGGCGAACGAGCTCGGAACTGCCATCCGCAATGCCCTTGCGAACCCGTGCGCACAATGCAGGAGGTGGGGTCGAATAGGGCTTCGGATTTGGATTCGGAGCGATTGCGAAGCAATAAGGATCAACGATAAACTCTATCAGGGTGCTTTCACCTGGTCCTCGTGATTCCAGACGGGTCACAAGGCTTCCCCAGGGCCAGAATCTGGTAGGTCCCGAACAAAAACCACAGGCAGGGCAAATACACACACCAAGCACCCCGCAGTTGCGGATAAGAGTGAGGGGGCGGCGGGGACGTCGGCAGTCTGCGAGGCTCCGAAGTAGCCCGCCGCAAGCGCAGAATTTTCAAGCTGTACAACGAGCCCGCCGCAGGCTCCGATTTTCTTGAGGTTAAAACAATGTGGGTGGGTCGCGGGTTGGGCTGCTGATGAAACGCCATGGGGTGAGGCTCGCGAACCCACCCTCCCCCGAGATGTACTCTACCACCCGCGCACGGCGAGAGCAGGTCACCGCTGACGGGGACGAGAGGCATGCGCGAAGAATAAGCCAGGGCCGCTCGGGCGGCGCAGGGAGAGGAGCTAGGGTACGACAAATTCGCGTCGTGTCTACCCTGGCGTTGGTTCCTTGCACCGGGGGGATACCGTTCAAACTTGAACGATTGGCCGTTCTATTCACGCCGGGTCGTTCAACGACGGGCCGACTCTGGGCCACGAGCGGCGTTCAACTTTGAACGCCCGCGATGCGGTCGTCGCCGAGTCGACGCGAACCTGCCGTACGAGGCGGGGTGCGGCGCCGACATGCGTCCAAACGGACGGCCCTAGGAGAGTGCGCGGTGGGCGAGCCGGACAGATCCCAGCACACACCTTGGTAGTGTGCGCAAGTCGTCACGAGAGCGTGAATGGGGCAAAGGGTGCCGGCGACGAAGAGCGCGGGACAACGCTGTGTGCCTCTTCGTAGGTGTACACATGGCTCCCGAAGATGGACTCTTCAAGGACGGATGGGGGAGCCCCCGAAGAGATCCCACCCTACAATAGGAGAAACGAGATCCGACACCAACACCCTCATCGCCAAGAGACAGGCACGGCCCTCCTGGTAGCACTGTCCCAGTGTTATGCTGCGCCCCGCTCGAGGCATCTCCTGGCCGAATGTGGCCCGATGGTGGTCCTGGTGTCGCGTCTCTTCCATCTGATTTTGTGGGCCTCGGGCAAGCGAGAGCACCAAAGAAAAAAGAGCGGGCGAAAGCGACACGGTCCTCCACCGCCACCCGCCGCGCAGCAGCCGCCTCCTCCTCCTCCGCCTCCGCAGCAACCTCCACCGGCGCAGCAGCCCCCTCCGCCGCAACAGCCTCCGCCACAGCCTCCCCCGCCGGAGCAGCCTCCGCCACCGCAGCCGCCGCCGCCGCCGCCACAGCCTCCGCCATCGCAGCAGCCGCCGCCACAGCAGCCGCCGCCGGAGCCTCCGCCGCAGCAGCCACCTCCGCAGCAGCCGCCGCAGCCTCCGCCCCAGCAGCCTCCGCCACAGCAGCCGCCGCCGCAACCTCCACCGCACCCGCCACCGCAGCAGCCTCCACCGCAGCAGCCTCCACCGCAGCAGCCTCCACCGCAGCAGCCTCCACCACAACCCTGAGACATCTCCGAGTTCATCATCTGTACGCCGCTGCTTTTGAATTACCAGGTCAGGGGCCAACGGAGCATCAACTCTGACTGGGCATTTCTGCAATATGCCCGATCCGAACCCTGCCCGTGCAAGAGGAAAAGTGGATGTTGATGACTGTGAGGAACATGACTGGAGGAAGGGGTGGGAGGGGAAGAGGGCGGGATGAAAAAGGACGATGAGGATTAGCACGACGAGGAGCAAGATGGCGGGGAGACGGGCGAAGGAGCGAGGACGGGATGGGGAAGAGGTGTGAGGGGCGCAGATGCGATAAGATGAGCAGGAGGAGGCGACAGAAAGCAATGACGAAGTGGAACATCATTCACTGGTGTGGGGTATTCCCCCGTCCAAGCTCCATGCCTATAGGTCGTTAAGGACTCGATGTGGTCAAACGACCGTCTGTTGATGGCAGACGTGAAGTGAAGGTGGCTGGACCCTGAGGCGCACGACAAGGAGGAGGAGGAGGAGGTGATGACCAGCAAGGGAGAAGTAAGGTTGAGGAGACAAAGAAGACCCCCTCCCCCTGTTCCCTCCTCCCTCCCTCCTCTCTGCTTCCTCCCTCCCCCTCCATCCCTCCCTCCGTCCTCCCCGCTCCGGCTCCCCCCTCCCTCCTCCCTCCTCCGTCTCCCTGCGAACTGCAGCCGAACCCGGCGTCCTGCTGCTGCATCATCTGCTGCTGCATCATCTGCTGCTGCATCATCTGCTGCTGCATCATCTGCTGCCTGAGGGGCGCTGGACATCCGCGCCCGCGCGGCGCCCAGAGGAGGCTGAGGAGGAGGAGGAGGAAGAAAAGGACAGGCCGGGAGAGCGGGCAACGGGTGGCTCCTTCCTCCTCCCTTCCGCTCTTCCCGCGGCCCTCCTCTTTTGAGCCGAAGTTTGTTCTAGCAGGATGCGTGGAGGCACAGGGCCAGCAGTTCGAATCTGAGATGGCCTGGCGGGTTTCGAATCTCAATCCCAGCTCGCTTCGCGACCGGCGCCACTCCCCTCACTCCTGGCCCCTCCCTCCTCGTTCCTGTTCCTCAGCCTCTCCGCTCCCTCCTCTCTCGGGGCGGGAGGAGATGGCGGTCGAGTCCTGGGGGGGAGGGGGACTGAATGATCAGGGGCTGAAGGGAGGGGAGGCAGACAGACGGCGGGGAGGGAACTCGCTTGAATGCGCTGGTGACCACGACGTGGTGGAGAATTCAAGAGACGAGAGAGACGGGCGGGCGCTCACGCAGGCTAGCTTCCCGACTGATGATGCCTTCCTGGCGGCCCAATGTGGCGTTCGAGGGGGCCCGGGCGGCCGGGGAAAAGGCTCTGGCGGCTACACTGAAGGTTCTCGTGGACCTTTCTGGACTGCGGGGAGTCAGGAGAGGCACCGTGGGAAGAGGGGAGAGGGCGGAGGGCGGGGCCGAGAGAGAGAGAGAAAGGGAAGATGAGCATTGGTGAGGGCAGGCGATGCGATGTGGTGACGGGCAGGGGCGGAAGGCATGTGGGGTCCGATCAACAGTCGGCCGCTGAGGGAACAATGTATCTCAACCATCACCCCGCATGAGACAGAACGCCAACCCAGTACTGTCATCGTCATGCTCGGCGAGCAGCTGATGAGTGATAGCCGATGGACTGACTGAGGCCCCCTAGGAGGAGCAGGAATGAACAGGCATGGCGAATGGGGAGGAGAGGAGGAGGAGGAGGAGGAGGAGGAGGAGGAGGAGGAGGAGGAGGAGGAGGAGGAGGAGGAGGAGGAGGAGGAGGAGGAGGAACGGCACGTGTGAGATCGAAGACCGCACACCGCACCTGCGCGACATCAGGCTCTGGCATCCTGCCTGCGGGTCGTGCCCATTGTTCGGGGCCGGCTCCTCGGCACTCGGCGCAACCACAGCGAAGGCCGCCAAAGACCGCATCAGAAGGGCGCAGCACGTCACGGAGCCATCCACGGGCGGACGTCTTCTTATTCGGCGCTTCGGCATTGGGCGGGAAAAGGGGGGGGGTCTGGCTCCGGACCTCTGCTTAGTTGCGACTGTTTGCAAACAGTGCGTTCTAGGGGGGAGACTCCACCTGCTCGAAACGGGTGCCAGAAACAGCCAAGATCCACTCCATGGGGGGGGGTGCGAGGGTCCACGCGTATCGGCAAAACAATGAATGAGAAAACGATCACCAGACAGCCCAGCGAGCTCCCAGATGCTCTTAGATCTCCCCACTGTGGTCTGAGAAGCCTCCAAAAAGATGCTCACAGTAGCCTCCAGAGAGGCGGCAGGGAGCCGAGCCCTTCAGCGGTCGCGGGGGATGGGGCGCAAGGGACACCAAGGGGCAGGAATGCGATGCGAGGGGTAGGATCGGAAGGGAAGGGGAAAGGGAAAGGGAAAGACTCAACACTGGGAACCGAGGTCCCTCCTCATCCCTTCCCGCCCCGCACCTAGACCCCCCGCCAACCTCCGAGACCCCCGTCCCCCCTGAAAAAACTGAACCCCGAGGTCAGATTGATGCCCTGCTCATCCCTCTTCCCCTCACTCTCTCCCTCTTGTCTCCTCTCTTGTGTTTGTTGTTTGGGGGGAAGACTGGGACGGCGAAGAAGGGCCCATGGCAGGATCTGGCAACATCGAATCGGGAAATCGGATCGAATTGGAACGTGCGTTGGATCGGGCTACACCGGGACGGGCTCGAAATCGAATCGGATCGGCCACGCCGGACTGTACAACGCGGCCACGCAAAGGTCGGGCCGCAGCGGATCGTCGGCGTACCTGAATGGAATCGCACCGGGCTGGCCGGAATCGATCTCGAATCAGCTCGATGGGATCGAACCGCACCCTGCACGGTGGGCCACGACGGCACCCGGAGAATGCCCCCTCTTGAGAGCCGGCCCTGCGCACTGCATCATCATCATGGGGTTCATGCCCATGCCCATGCAGCCTGGCTCGCCGCGCCCCTCCCCGGCTCCCTCCTCATCCCCATCCCTTCCCCGATTCGCCCCTCCGTCTCCCTCCTTCCTTCTCCCCGAGTCATCTCCCTCCATCCCTCCCTCCTCCCTGTCGCCTGCTCACCGTTCCCTCCCTCCACTCTCTGGCCATCGCCTTCCTCCCTCCTCCCGCCCCCCCTCAACTTTCCTCCAGTCGCGTCGTCGGCTCGGCCCTCCGCCCTCTCTTCCTCCTGTCGCTGTCGCTGTCGGCTTCGGACGTTTCTTCCTCCTCCCCCTCCTCCTCCCCCTCCCCCTCCTCCTCCCCCTCCCCCTCCCCTTCCCCCAGGTGGCTGCGCAGCGGGCAATTTTCTTTCATGTGAGGCCGCCCGCTCACCTCAGCCCCCAGCCCCATTTGGGGCGGCCTCGCGACGGGCGCGCAGCCGCGATCGCGCTCGCCCGCGTGGCATCGGCGCGCCAGGTGGAGGCGTGCCGCCGCCCGTGCGGCTCTGGGGCTGGAAGCGCATGCCCAGCGTCTCCGAGCTCATCGCGGCAGTGCAGCACCCAGCATGGGCAAAGGTTGGGATCGGAGCTCAGAGCTGTACACCAAGTGCGGCAGTTGTGGAGCACGCGAGTTGAATTTATTGTCGATTCAGCGTGGTCGATATTGCAAGGGCGGTCCAACTTGTGCTGCACAAGGCGAAAGGCAAGAAGGACAGCAGCGGCCAGGGCAAGGGGTAGACACAGACCTGGCCCTCAGCACCACTGGCGGCAGCTCTTCGGCCAGCGACATCTTGTTGAAGGCGCTCGGGGCCACGGACAACCCTCACTTGAAGGCGGCGATGCAAGCTGAGGCGCAGAAGGTGCAGTCGGCAATGGGCGCCAAGCCAGTCGTCGGGATTTCCCCCGGAGAAGCTCACCGACGGGCCGAGGCTGCATGGCGCGATGCCAATCGTCGCCACGATCAGGCATCAGAAGCGGTGCGGAAGGCGAAGGAGCAGCTCGCCCGCGCGGTGGGGCGTGAGGATGAGGCCGTGAGACAGCTCGCCAATGCCGAGATAGCCAAGCGCATCACCGTGCGGGCGCTAGCGGCGGAGGCGGGGATCACCGCGGAGAGCGCCGACCCGCTGAATGTGACCACGGACGGCAGCGGTGCTGGTGCCGGTAGCAAGCTCGACGTGGCCTGGGACGAGAGCGTCTTCACATCCTTGCGCAGCAGCGAGTGCGAGTGCGAGGAATCAGAGACGGCCGAGCTTTTACGATTGGAGCAGGAGCTCATCCAGGCCAAGACCGCGATTGGCGAGCGAGGCGACCATGTCCAGGCTCGGAAGACCAAGATGGAGGAGATGCAGAAGTCGGCGCGCCAGCCAGCGCATGGCCAAGTAGCGCAGGGGGGCTGACGGCGAGACTCACGAAGACGGCGGCGGCCTAGAGGCGGCGGAGCCTGAGGGGCCAGAGCCGTCGCCCCCCGCCCCCCCCCCCCGCAGCTGCAGCAGGCGCTGGCGATGAGGACGTGCAGGAGCAGGAGAGGCTCGAGAAGGGGATCCAGAGGACTCGTGAGGCGAAGGTGGCAGCGGCTCACGCAGCGGCATCCACGGCTGCTGCGGCGGCCAAGGCGGCAGGGCGAGGTGCGGCGGCTGGGGCGGCGTCGCCCGCCAAGGACAGGCCGAAGTGGGCGAGGGGCGCCTCGGCGAGCCCAGCGGCCGCCGAGGCTGCGGCTGCGAGCGCAGCTCGCGGAGCCGCCCCCCGCGCTCCTTCCCCGTCTCCTGGTCGGCGCATGGCGCGAGGTGTCGAGGCTGCAGGCAGCCCTGTGGCACCAGCACCATCCAGCAGTGCGTCGCCAACTTCGACTCGCCTCGGGGACTTCGGCGGGGGCTGAAGTCTCGACCTTTTCAATTGCACAATCCAGCGACATAGCGCAGGTCTTCGTCGGTAGTGCCACGATGCGAGGCAACAAACCGTGGGGTTACCTGGCGGACTTGGCCAAAATCCGTTCCATCCAATTCATTTCCTTGTGCAAGACGCACGTCGCAGCGTCTCAGGTGCCCAAGTGGACCAATCAAGCAAGGGCTTCTCATCCCAAATGCTGTGCCAACGGGGCCCGACCTACAGGACGCCAGTGTTTGACAGAGTCGGGGCAGGCAAAAGCGAATGGGGGAGGAGAAATGTTCTTGGTAGGAAGGCATCGTCAAGCGCACCCGCTAGCGAATGGCAAGCAAGGGGCACTTTGTGAGTCGGGTCAGTCAACGCTACATGGGTTTCTCCCCATGGCGATTCACTTGCAGGTTTCAGCAGCGGCAGCGGCGGTGGCGGTTTGCGGCGGTGGCGCCGGCGGTGGCGGCGGCGGCGGCGGGGGCGGCGGCGGGGGCGGCAGCGGCGGCGGCGGCGGTGGCGGCGGCGGCGGTGGCGGCAGGCGTGGCGGCAGCGGCTGCGGCGGCTCGGCGGCGGCGGCGGCGGCGGCGCGGCGGCTGCGGCGGCGGGCGCGGCGGCGGCGGCGACGGCGGCGGGCGGGGCGGGGGCGGAAGCGCGGCGGATTCGCCCCAGTAGCTGCCCATCCAAAGACGACTGCTGAATATGCTGAGGCTCGGGCCAGGCTCGGGTGCTACGTGTGTGTTGTCCCTATTAATATACACCCCGTCCCCCAGGTGACTGGGAGCCAGCCCGAAACCATGCGGGCCCCCCTCCACCATCCATAAAAAATACAAAACACACTCTGCCCCAAAGTTCGGAGCATGCGCAGCGAACCCGATGCGGCCTCCTCCCACCGTCCTTGTCGCAAAATAATACAGAGTACACGTGGCGGCGGCCGGCGGCGGCGGCGGCGGCGGCGGCGGCGGGGCGGCGGCGGCGGCGGCTGCGGTGGGTGCGGCGGCGGCAGCGCTGCGGCGGTTGCGGCGCTCCGGCGGTGGCGGCCGGCGGCGGCGGGGGCGGCGGGCGGGCGGCGGCGGTGGCAGCGGCGGCGGCGGCAGCGGTGGCGCCAGCGGCTGCGGCGGCAGCGGCTGCGGCCGCTGCGATTCGACAGCGGGGGCGGCGGCTCGGCGGCGGCGGCGGCGGGCGGCGCTGTGGTGGCGGCGGGCAACGGCGGCGGCGGCGGCGGCGCGGCGGTGGCGGAGACGGGCGGCGGGGGCGGCGGCGGCGGAAGCGGCGGCGGATTCGCCCCCAGTAGCTGCCTATCCAACGACGACTGCTGAATATGCTGCGGCTCGGGCCAGGCTCGGGTGCCACGTATGTGTTGGGAAGGCGGGTGGGAATGAGCGAGACGGCTTGCCGGCGGGGAGGGGGTCTTGATCACTGTTCCCTATTAGTATACACCCCGTCCCCCAGGTGATTGGGAGCCAGCCCGAAACCATGCGGGCCCCCCATCCACCATCCCTAAAACAATCAAAACAAAACACACTCTGCTTCCAAATTCGGAGCATGCGCAGCGAACCCGATGCGGCCTCCTCCCACCGTCCTTGTCACAAAAACAATGCAGAGTACACTTGGCGGCGGCGGCGGCTGCGGCGGGGGCAGCGGCTGCGGCGGCTGCGGCGCGGCGGCGGCGGCGGCAGCGCGGCGGCGGAAGCGGGGGCGGGGGCGGCGGCGGGGACGGCGGCGGCGGCGGCAGCGGTGGCGGCAGCGACTGCGGCGGCAGCGGCTGCGGCGGCGGTTCGGCAGCGGGGGCAGCGGCAGCAGCGGCGGCGGCGGCGGCGGCGGCGCTGTGGTGGCGGTGGCGGCGGCGGCGGCGGCGCGGCGGCGGCGGCGGCGGCGGCGGCGGCGCGGCGGTGGCGGCGGCGGGCGGCGGCGGCGGCGGAGGCGGCGGATTCGACCCCAGTAGCTGCCGATCCAAAGACGACTGCTGAATATGCTGCGGCTCGGGCCAGGCTCGGGTGCTACGTATGTGTTGGGAGGGCGAGTGGGAGTGAGCGAGACGGCTTGCGGGCGGGGAGGGAGTTTTGACCCCTCCCCCTACCCCCTCCCCTGGACTTTTTTCGGGGGTTTCGCGAGGTGTCAGGGCGTCCAAAACAGCCTCGGCGAGGAAGCCAATCCCATTGGTTTCTACTAAGGTGTTGGCCCCATGTTGGCCTCTTTGGGGGGGGCTGAACGTTATACCATCTCCTCCTTTGATCGATTGCCTTCAAGATGGCCCCACGAGGCCTTCCAGGGCTCCCAAGAGGGCCCCAAGAGAGCCTCAAGAGGGCCCCAAGAGGGCTCCAAGACCCCTAACAGAGCCCCAAGAAAGCTCCAATTCCCTCCCAAAGAGCCCCAGGAGAGCTCCAAGAGGTGATTTTGAGGGCTCTTGGGAAGGGACCGACATCGAGGACCCCCCATCTTTTGATCGATGAATTCAATCCAGGGTTGTCTCCTTTTCAATCCGGGGTTGTCGCTGGGTATTTCCTGGAACGTTACGTCTCGCCTTGCCGCATTCCCTATACTTCGAAGAATGTCGGGCGTTCTTTTCCAAACGGAGGTTCCGCATGAGCTGCGGGTCCACTGAGTGCTCGCCGTTGACCTGGGGCGCTTGGCGCTCTTCTTGAAAACATGCCTGTAGGGACTAACGAAGCGAGACGGGATGGTGTTTTTCCCAATCGTCCTGTGGTGTTGGGTCCTCGCTTTGAAGAGACAACGCCCCGCGTCTCCTCCTCTCCTCCTCCTCCCCCTCCATCTCCCTCCTCCTCCTCCTCGTCCTCCTCCTCCTCCTCCTCCTCCTCCTCCTCCTCCTCCTCCTCCTCCTCCTCCTCTCTTCGGGCCGGTGTTTTTGTTCGCATCGTCCCGTCTTCGGGTTGGCTGCCTCGCCTTCAGGCGGCGTCTCGAAACCATCACGATCGGCCCCTGGAGCGCTGACAGCGGGGCCGGGCACCTGGTGGAGAGTGTGGCCTCGGCCGTTCAGAATTGCCCAACGTCGCCTGGAGCACATTGAATCCTTTCCTCCTCCTCGTCCTCCTCCTCCTCCTCCTTCTCCTCTTCGCCTCCTCCTCCTCCTCCTCCTGCTGCTCCTGCTCCTCTCCTGTCCTCCTCCTCCTCCTCGTCCTCCTCCTCCTGCCGCCTCCTCCTCATCCGCATCCTCCTCCTCCGCCTCTTCCTCAGCCTCCTCCTCTTCCCCCTCCTCTCGTGTGCCCATGCTCCCGCACGCCGCGTGACGGCACGCTTTTTGCAGCGCGGGCGCCGCCCATGCCGCCCATCATGCCCATTGGGCTCATGCCCATGCCACCCATGCCGCCCATCGGCATCATCATGGGCATCATCATGCCCATGCCGCTGCCCATGCTGCCGC